AGTTAGATTTAGTCTTATATTGTTTTCCACAGAGTTCGCATGAAAAACGCATTTTACACTTTGCACTTTTTCTGCAGAATTCGCATACTGGCCTTTTATCAGAATTATACCTTAAATTGGTCCCAAAATAATTTTGACAATGAAATATTTTCCCACAAATCTCACACGGAAATAGTCTATTTTCAGGATACTTTGCTTTTTTCGGCTTAACTTCCTTTACATAATGTTTGCATGGGTCATGGCTGACTTTCAAGCGATGTTTAACTTTGAAATGATATTTCCTGTGCTTCGCTAATTCAGAAAAAAGTTTAAATCTCTTCTTGCATTTTGAACAAGAAAACGGAGTCCCTTCTATATGTGATTTCGTGTGTTCCTCGAAATAACATTTGAAGAAAAACTGTTTTTTACAGACATTACAGGAGTAAGTTCTTTTATTGGAATGTACAAACAGATGATTGGCGTATAGTATATGATATGAAAACGTCTTCTTGCAAATATGACACTCCAGCTTCTTTCTCGACGAAATGAATAAATGCCTTTTCAAAACGAGATTTCTGGCTAATCTCAATTTAATAATACATTTTGGATTTAAGTTACTAATTCTTATATAATTTTTCCCGTGCCTGTCACGATTGAACCACTTCTTTCTTGTTTTTTTATTTCCTGAAATGAAAGAAATAAATCAAATTCAAATTTTCAGTTAATTAAAAGTGAACTTCTTTTTAAAATATCAAAATAAAAATGAAATTTAAGATGAAATATCTTCAATAACTTAAATATTTCATCCCTATTTATTGAAAATTAAAACAACGAATAAAAAAAATCAATTATGTATTTCATTTTGACATAATTTTAAAAATATTTTTGTTTTATTTTTATTAGTTTTACAGGTTGCTGCATAATTTTTGCAAATTTAGTGTTTATTCATGTAAATGTAATGAGGTAATTCCCAAAGTTATGGCCTTAAGTCGCAAAACACACTTATATAAAAACGTATAAAGTAATTTTCGTTACTTCCAATTTCGTTATTTCATGAAGACAACCTTCTAATTTCTGTAGAATCAAAAGAATCACATAATTTATTATTGTTGACTGAATAATAGCAATTACCTTCGTGGTTCTTGATATTTGATACATCGTTTTCGTTCTGCTGCAACTAATTAGAAACAAAATAATTAATTACATTTACTGTATATTTATTTACTCTTCATTTCCAAATTTCATTTTAATGCTACTAACCTTTAAATTTTGGAAGTGGAAACTTTCAAAATTCAATTTTTCACAAATAACTTTGCATTGTAATTTTAATTTTGGATCCAGCAGAATATCAGGATTATTATTATTCCATCGTAAATCTTTAACAGTCAGATATCTTTCTTCCTCTTGTACGTTTTCTAAAAGAATAAATAAAGCTTAGAAATAAAGCTTAATTTTATACAAAATCTAAAAACTTACTGTATATAAAGTTAATGAATTCTGAATCACATCATTTTATATACTAGTGTAATATTTTATTAATAAAAATGTTTTACAATTTGCAAATTCCTACGTACAAAATAATAAATATTGGATTTATGGAAGACTCAGACACTTGAAAAACACGAAAACAATTTAGATACTTAATGATAGAATATATTTTTCTTTAAATATGAAATTTAAATTACTTTAGAATAGATCGCGACCCATCTGACAACAGTAGGCTACCATCTTATTTGCTTTAAAGCATCAAAACATTCTTAGAAATGGTTGGAACTCAATACAGCATACCAACCAAATAAATAAACATGACATTGGGTTAAGTTGAAACATTCTTTCAGAGTTATTTCTACCCATTCTTGTTACTGCAAATGCATCCACATACATGCAGCAGAATGATACATGGTGGAATTCATTATGTCTTGTTGTGAATGGAGTTTAGCAACAGAATGTAACTTCAAGAACACCACAGGAGCAAAACACTGGCATATTAAACATGTTGAATGAGGCAGATGGTAAGTAAGAAAAAAATTGATGTGTATAAATATGTAAGTACAGGTAACCCCCGTATAACACGGCACTTCTATAGCACGGATTCACTCTAACACGGTTCGAGAATTGGTACCATCCCCCGTATAACACGGTACTTTTATAGCACGGATTCACTCTAACACGGTTCGAGAATTGGGAATATCCCCCGTATAACACGGTGGTTTTATAGCACGGGTTCACTCTAACATGGTTCAAGAATTGGGTAAAACCCTCGTACAACATGAAATGTAATAAAGAGTGCATTCTTTTATACTTCCACGTAACTCCGCGCAAGCATTCTAATTCTTTTCGTGTCTACTTTGAATGCTCTTTCAACAATAATCCATTTAATGGTTAATTAAATTTTACAATTGGGACCCTTCTTTTGCCTCTAAAAGCTCATTTTAGAATTATAGATTCCTCCATCACGGTACTATCTAGTGCGGGTGCCGCCATCTTTCTTTCACCGTCGTTCCTAAATGTCTACAAACAGCAGCGCACTCCGATTGCAGAGCAACCACTATTAATGTACACACACAAAAACTATTACGAGTTGATGAAGCTCATGCTGAGATCATCATATAGGATGAATAATCCTCTAGTAAAATATTTACTTAAATAATAAATAAGTAATTTACTTGTGAAACGAATGAATAATAAATCCGATTTAAATAAGGATTTAACAGCATGCTTTTTAATTTTTGGAACCTAATCCCCCTTTTCGCACTAGTTCTTTGTTTCGTATAACACAGATTCGCATAACATGGCAATTTTTTGGAACGTAACTCCCATGTTATATGAAGGTTACCTGTACTTATATGGAGTAGGAACATTCAGACTGAAAAAGCTACCTCACGCCAAGTGGAGGAAATAGTTTTGTAAGGTTGCCGACTTTTAGAGGCAATAAGTTAATTGCGCGTCAGAAAAACTTAGGGACAAAACGTATGTAAGTGGTGGTGGTAGGAGACAAAGATGACAAGTGTCTTACAAAAACTGTTTATTTTTGACATAAAGTTAACTTACATAACAATGAAAGAACAATAAACAAAGAATGTTAAATGTCAGATGAGGTATGATGCTGGTGGAAGCCCCAGGACTTTCGAGAAGAAGAGCCCGCAGATTCGGAGGAAGGATACCGTTAAACGGGTGATGTTGACATACTGATTCACACACACACTTCTTAGCAGGCAGAGAAGCTTGGGTGGGTAAAACTGGCAGATGGACGAAGGTCCTGGAATCTTCTCAGCACTTCTCCGGAGAAGAATCAGCTGTTTGTTCTTCATATTTTGGGGGTTTTATAAAATTTTCCACAAATATCACCCTTTTGATTAGTCCCGTTCACCCTCTCCCTTACACCAATTGGTCATTCTTTTGTTTCTAGGCAAAACTTGAGACCGATCCAGGTCAGGAAAGGTCAGAGAGGTAATAACAAAGCTTTTAAAGTCCGTGCNAGACCTCTACTTGATGCTATAAAGTATCTTATAACAGTAAAAAAAATGGCCTCAAAATGTACACATCATATCCTTACTATCATACCGCTGTTAATCCTAACTACTGGTTCAATTAGTTCGGATTAGTGCAACTGTACACAATACACACTTTTTTTTATTACAGATTGTAAAAAATTAAAATAGTCTAGTTCAAAAATAAAAGGGGTCTTAATTTTATTTTATTATTTAAGCTGATAGCTTAGTGTTTAAAAGTAATGCAAAAAGTCTTAATTAATGCATAATTAGCAAAATAAGAAGGAATTCAAAGTATTAACGAGCAACAGGTTGGTTTAATAGTTTAAAAACTAAATTACTACATAGCACACAAGTGTGCTTACACTTGTGTGCATGTACAAGTGTGCTCCCATAGACTTAACATCATACAGTACTTTTGCCACTCTGCCATGCCTGAACCATTGTACCTTTCTCAAATTGCAATTGAAAGGCATCATCTACAGCTTTAATTTGATACCTGTACTGTACTTTTAGCCCCAGCCCTTTTCTCAAACTAAGTCTTACAGTCTCGAACCCTAAAAGAGGGTTTGAGACTGTAAGACTTAGTTTGAGATATTAAATTAATATAAAAGTTAGATTAGATTGAGATAGCATTGTTTTATTCTCAACATGCAAAAATTTTGAACATTGTCAAAGATCTGACCATAAAAATATAGGAAAAGACTTAAAAACAAGACTGAAGATCAGTTTCACTCCTTTGAGTGGTTCTATCCAAAAAGAAGCAAGAATAAATAAATGAAAGCAATAACGACTATTTTTAACTTTCACTTTGAATAAAGTGAAGGAACAATTTATATTTTTGAACTTCCTAATCTTATTTTTTCTGTACATTTCTTTACTCCAAATTTGTGATATTTTGCAAAAATATAGCAAATGCACAGTTTCTCTACAGTTCGACATGTTAAAAAATGTCAAACTGGGTTGTAATTTATTAAAAAGCTTCTTGCTGTATTAATTAATTACAGAAGCTACTTAGTTACTTACGACTAATAAACAGGCTTATTACACACCCATCCAATTCAATTAACTTATCCAAAATGTATTTCAGCCTTACTTGCTCTTATCAATTGGAACAACAGTTCAATCCAATTGATAAGACAGAAATGAATTTTGGATAAGTTTAATTAAATTGGATGGGTGTGTAATAAGCCTGTTCATTAGCCAAAAGTAATCAATTTTATTTTATGAATTTCATGAAAATGGTTAAGTACTTTATATTTACTTTTAAGCAGATCCCGAAAGTGGTGGACAGAGTACCATGGCACTGCATTGCTGGATGATGGTGTGCATAGAAATCCACACACACAAATGCACAATTCACACACAATCTCCATAAAAACTGCAATTCAAACATTGTTATAACCTGGAAATATTAATAATTTGGTTATTTCATATCCTTTAAATGTAATTATTAATGTGCATACAACAAAAACTGGAGAAAAAAATTTTTTATATGTAATTTTAATTCTTACATAAATAAAACACATGAACAATTGATATGAAACCAAATAATAATAATTATTGTTATTCAGAGCTCAGTTTCAAAGTCAGTTCTCCTCTTACATTTTGTTTCTTTAGTCAGAATAACCTGATGATGATGAAATGTAAGTTTCTCTCAAATGAGTCTTCAAATGATTCTTCTGTTAATGAAGGGATGATTTAATGAAATTTGATCACTTTAGACACTTCTCCCAAAGCTGGTACCTACTTGCCAAAGTAAAGGACATGACCTATCCAGACAGACAACTCATAAATGTTTACAAGTCAGCCTGTGTTTGAACTTGCATCCCTTGGCCTTTGCCATCCCGTTTCCAGATTCATATAGCAGAAAAAACCAAACTACAGGCCGATAAACTAGATGTCACTTGAAAAAATGAAATACTGGCAAGGAGTCAGTTGCACTGCTGACTTTTCTCATGACTTTACTTCCTTCCATGTCTTAACTGAAAAAACTTGAATTGTCAGAAAATTTTGAATTTTTTGCAGAGATCATTCAGCATTCTTTATTAAAGTTTGAAATTAAAACATACTTTACAGCCTATACAAAATTTGAACACATTAAAGATTGTTATAACAACCATTTCATTACGATAGTCTGATCTCTCTTTTACCTGTATTCAAGAATAATAGCCCAACTTGAAATATCCAAAAGAAATTACGAGACCAATTTGATTCAAATTTTGACCTCTCATCACAGTTTGCTTATGTGTTATAGTAAAATCATCCATATGACTCTATATCTTACCAACTTTCTGACTGAAGTCTTTCTTTAGAACAAGTTCTTTTGTGCATAGTTAATTCACTTGACAGCTTAAAACATCTTTCAAAAAATTCATAGCTTTTCTTAAAATGGGTTCTTCTATGTGTCTTTTAACTTTAGTTTCTGCTTAAAATTCTTTCTGCATATGTTGCATGCAGTATCTTTAGGCTTTTGTAAAATGCATTCTTATGTGCGATCTTAAAGCTGATTTCACTTCAAAATGCCTGAGACAAATTTCGCATCCAAAAGGTTTGCTATTGGCATGACTCACGTTGTGTTCAATTAGTAATGCCCGTGTTTTGTAAGCATTTCCACAAATGTCACACGAGAAAGGCATTATTACCTCCAAATGATTGTAATTTTGATGTTCCATTAAAGCTGATCTGTTACTAAATGATTTGGTGCAAACTTTGCATTGAAAAGATCTTTCTTTGCTATGACATATCAGATGACGTGTTAAACCGTTTCTCATCGTAAATGCTTTTCCACAGATTTCACACAAGAAAGGCTTCACACCTGAGTGAATCTTCTGATGGACCATTAATCCTGATCTCAACTTAAATGATTTGGTGCATAATTTGCATTGATAAGCTCTTATGTTGGTATGAATCATCTTATGTTGTCTTAAGCAATTTCTATTCTTAAATTCTTTTCCACAGATTTCACACAAGACCCAAACCTGAGTAAACCCAACACCTGAGTGAACCTTCATATGGGCCAGTAATGATGTTTTCCACTTATATGATTTGGTGCAAAATTTGCATTGATAAGCTCTTGTGTTTTTATGAACACTCTGATGTTGTTTTAAGTAATTTCTATTCTTAAATTGTTTTCCACAGACTTCACAATCACATGAACAATGTATTTTATCGTTGTTCATGTGATTCTGAAGTCTGTAAGAATGAGACCGTTCGTGTATTTTCAAATCAGTCTTTTTCTTAAAACTTTTTCCACAGATTTTACACAAGAACGACCTCACATATGAATGAATCTTCTCATGCGCCATTAATAATGATTTTAAGTTAAATGATTTAAGGCATAATTTGCATTGAAAAGCTTTTAGGTTGTAATGACTATGCAGATGTCGTTTTAAGTTAGATTTAGTCTTATATTGTTTTCCACAGAGTTCGCATGAAAAACGCATTTTACACTTTGCACTTTTTCTGCAGAATTCGCATACTGGCCTTTTATCAGAATTATACCTTAAATTGGTCCCAAAATAATTTTGACAATGAAATATTTTCCCACAAATCTCACACGGAAATAGTCTATTTTCAGGATACTTTGCTTTTTTCGGCTTAACTTCCTTTACATAATGTTTGCATGGGTCATGGCTGACTTTCAAGCGATGTTTAACTTTGAAATGATATTTCCTGTGCTTCGCTAATTCAGAAAAAAGTTTAAATCTCTTCTTGCATTTTGAACAAGAAAACGGAGTCCCTTCTATATGTGATTTCGTGTGTTCCTCGAAATAACATTTGAAGAAAAACTGTTTTTTACAGACATTACAATGGTAAGTTCTTTTATTGGAATGTACAAACAGATGATTGGCGTATAATATATGATATGAAAACGTCTTCTTGCAAATATGACACTCCAGCTTCTTTCTCGACGAAATGAATAAATGCCTTTTCAAAACGTGATTTCTGGCTAATCTCAATTTAATAATACATTTTGGATTTAAGTTACTAATTCTTATATAATTTTTCCCGTGCCTGTCACGATTGAACCACTTCTTTCTTGTTTTTTTATTTCCTGAAATGAAAGAAATAAATCAAATTCAAATTTTCAGTTAATTAAAAGTGAACTTCTTTTTAAAATATCAAAATAAAAATGAAATTTAAGATGAAATATCTTCAATAACTTAAATATTTCATCCCTATTTATTGAAAATTAAAACAACGTATAAAAAAAATCAATTATGTATTTCATTTTGACATAATTTTAAAAATATTTTTGTTCTATTTTTATTAGTTTTACAGGTTGCTGCATAATTTTTGCAAATTTAGTGTTTATTCATGTAAATGTAATGAGGTAATTCCCAAAGTTATGGCCTTAAGTCGCAAAACACACTTATATAAAAACGTATAAAGTAATTTTCGTTACTTCCAATTTCGTTATTTCATGAAGACAACCTTCTAATTTCTGTAGAATCAAAAGAATCACATAATTTATTATTGTTGACTGAATAATAGCAATTACCTTCGTGGTTCTTGATATTTGATACATCGTTTTCGTTCTGCTGCAACTAATTAGAAACAAAATAATTAATTACATTTACTGTATATTTATTTACTCTTCATTTCCAAATTTCATTTTAATGCTACTAACCTTTAAATTTTGGAAGTGGAAACTTTCAAAATTCAATTTTTCACAAATAACTTTGCATTGTAATTTTAATTTTGGATCCAGCAGAATATCAGGATTATTATTATTCCATCGTAAATCTTTAACAGTCAGATATCTTTCTTCCTCTTGTATGTTTTCTAAAAGAATAAATAAAGCTTAGAAATAAAGCTTAATTTTATACAAAATCTAAAAACTTACTGTATATAAAGTTAATGAATTCTGAATCACATCATTTTATATACTAGTGTAATATTTTATTAATAAAAATGTTTTACAATATGCAAAATCCTACGTACAAAATAATAAATATTGGATTTATGGAAGACTCAGACACTTGAAAAACACGAAAACAATTTAGATATTTAATGATAGAATATATTTTTCTTTAAATATGAAATTTAAATTACTTTAGAACAGGTCGAAACCCATATGACAACAGTAGGCTACTATCTTATTTGCTTTAAAGCATAAAAATATTCTTAGAAATGGTTGGAACTCAATACAGCATACCAACCAAATAAATAAACATGACATTGGGTTAAGTTGAAACATTCTTTCAGAGTTATTTCTACCCATTCTTGTTACTGCAAATGCATGCACATACAGGCAGCAGAATGATACATGGTGGAATTTGTTATTGCTTGTTGTGAGTGGAGTTTAGCAACAGAATGTAACTTCAGGAACACCACAGGAACAAAACACTGACATGTTGAATGAGGCACATGGTAAGTCAGAAAAAAATAATTGATGTGTACAAATATGTAAGTACTTATGTGGAGTAGAAACATTCAGACTGAAAAAGCTACCTCACACCAAGTGGAGGAAATGGTTTTGTAAGGTTGCCGACTTTTAGGGCCAATAAGTTAATTGCGCGTCAGAAAAACTTAGGGACAAATCGTATGTAAGTGGTGGTGGTAGGAGACAAAGATGACAAGTGTCTTACAAAAACTGTTTATTTTTGACATAAAGCTAACTTACATAATGGAAGAACAATAAACGAAGAATGTTAGATGTCGGATGAGGTGTGATGTTGGTGGTAGCTAGGGGCTTCCTAGGATAGGAGTCCACAGATTCGGAGGTAGGATACCGGTAAACGGGTGATGGTTGATGTTCTGATTCACATACACACACTTTTTAGCAGACAGAGAAGCTTGGGCGGGTGCGACTGGCCTGTGGATGGAGGTCCTGGAATCTTCTCAGCACTTGTCCAGAGGAGAATCGGCTGTTTGTCCTTGATATTTGGGGGTTTTATAAGATTTTCCCCGAATATCACCCTTTTGATTGATCCCGTTCACCCTCTCCCTTACCCCGACTGGTCATTCTTTTGTTTCTAGGCGAAACTTGAGACCGATCCAGGTCAGGAAAGGTTGGAGAGGTGATAACGGAGCTTTTAAAGTCTGTGCTCGTATTTTACTCCATTATGGCCCTTCTCTCTGACATCTTTGAACCTAAACGGTCCACCAGATGTTCTTGTGGCCATTTTCCCCCTAATGCATTCAGGCTTAACAGATGTCCCTTTAGTCATTAAACCCTCTTTTCTCAATTGTTTCGACCTGACACTTGTTCGCGAGCATCTCGACAAAGCTTTCTCTCTTGATGTTCCCCCTGCCATTTATCATTCCATCACATTTGTTTTACAATAGGTAAGAAAGTTTTCCTTTTGCCTGGGTTTTGTCACCAACACACCCTCTTGACCTGATTTGATCTTCAAAACTTTCCTACTTAGGAGTTTTGTAATTAGTCGAAATTTAGACGTGCTTTTATGACCCTCACAGTTTCTGGAGGTGCTTCTATACAGTATGAGCACTAGCAAGTGTCTTGTTGCTCAAGAGTAATACTTTGAAACAGTTGTTTAAATCTCCTTTGGGACTGTCCATAAATTAGATCTGCATTTTTATGAAATTTTTATTCCCCCTCCTTCCCCTCTCTTGTCTCAGTTTCCATAACGCCTTCTCCTCTTTACTTGTCCAACAAAACTGAACTCCCCTTAAAACCTTTATCACTTTATGAATGTCAGATACCATAAGTAAAAACCAAACATATAGGAACTTTGGAAATAAATATAATCGTCTTCTTCTCTAGCATTCAACCCTCATTGGTGCACGGCCCATTGTTTACATGTCTAGTGCTATGTGACTATATTTTGAATATATTTTTTTGTTTATCATTGTTCTTTTTAATTTGTAATTAATGTTCTGCTATTATGTATTGCATTTTAAACTTGTACAGTATATCATGGTATCCCCTCCTCTTTGCCCTGGTGTCACCTTTTCTGAGTTGCAACATTTGGAACTCTCTGATTGGTCAAGGGGAGTGTCACATGCAGAGCACTTACTTCCAGATGGCGGAAAGTATAAATAAAGGAACTTTTACCATGTGTGCTCTCATATTTTTTTTCCTTGGACTGTTCTGGAAGGACAAAAGGTGAAGTATTAGCAGGAACTTTCAAGAGGACGTTTGTGGTGATCGCCATCATGGAAAACATAAATTCTACTCGACTGGGGACAATCTGTGTCCAATTAGTGAGATATCAGCAATATTAGTTTTGAATTAGTATGCATGTGTATCCATTCTATTTGTAGTTAACATGTCATTGCGAATTCTCTAGGGCTAACTCTGAAAAAAGGAGAGGGAGGTGTATGTATATGTATAAACATGTAAATATTTTTATCTAGATAGAATGCAAATTAGTTGTGTAGCATGAAATGAATTGTGTTAATTGTACTACCTGGCTCTTGTGTTATATATATTGAAGGCAATCACACATATTGTATCAGATTAAATAATTCTTTTCTTTTGTCGTTTATGTGCACATGGCTTTGATCAATTATTCAGTTGCTATCATATTACTTTCTTCATACACACAGTGGATTTCAGTCTACAAAAGATACTACACATGCATTCCTCCATTTTACCTGATCTAGTGCATCATTTGGTGAAATTCTCATTGTTTCCCTATCTTCTGTGATTTGGACAAGTCACCAGTTTTTGGGGCATCCATGAGGTCTAATTTTCTCTGGGTCATAACAGAGGATACTTTTTGCCATTGAGTTGTCATCACTGCACATAACATAACAATACCAGCATAATTAAGTTTCTTGCATCTTGTCTGTAACTGTTCATATTTGTTTTCTGAAGTTGTTATTCATTATGTGATGAAAGCACATAAGACCCAATAATGATCTTAACATTCTCATTTCTATGACATGTAGTGCCTGTTTGTGCTTCTATGTGACATTTCAGCATTCTGACCCATACATTGCTACTGGTTGCACAACTAACTTATAAATTTTTCGCCTTAAGATGAATTGGCATCTTTTTATCACAAAGCGCTCCAGTTACCTCTCTCCATTTCATTCAGGCTGCACTGATTCATGCACGAACGTCTGGTGTTGCATTTTGTCATCGGATGAGATAAGGGAGCTTAAGTATTTGAATTTTGTAGTTTTTGTAATTTCTTAGTAATATATTAGGATTTTTCTATTTGTCTGTGTGCCACATTCTAAATATTCAGTTTTCTGAATGTTTAAATTGAAAGTCATTTTTGCTCAGACAATCTTTCCAGTCTTGTGCTTATTTTTCAGGGTTCTTTAGATTCTGGTCTGCAATTAAAACTGCAGATCAAAATGGTTGAAATAAATAAAATAAAATGCATAAACTGCATAAAATTTAATGTAATAAATTGATGTGCACTAAACCTCAACCCCTCCCCCTTGTCTGGCTTGGTCCAACTTGTTGTAATCCCCTCCCTCCCTTACAATATGGACATCGTCAATGGCCAGTCCCAATTTCAAAAATAAAAATTTCCATAAATACCAAACAATCTTCTGAATCACCAGGCTATATTAAGACTAATTTAATAATCTTACAGAAATTTTTTATATCTAAATATTAACTTAGCTCAATAATTTGGCAAATCATTAGGCATTACTTAAAAATTGAATTATTATATTACTGTTTATTTCCAAGAACTTTTTGACACTATTTGTATAAAAATCTGCTACAAATAAAATACTTTCTCTTTGTTATTTCGACATACCTTTATTCATACAGTCGGGTTCGTCATCAAATTTTCTTTTTATTTCGTGTTTGAAATCTTCATAAATGTAGTCGTCTTGAAAATATGTGCTGTTATTTTTATGTATCGTCTCTTCTCCATTTTCCAACTATTTTAGAAAAACATTGCATTAAACTATTATAACAATTGCTTTATTTAGGAAGATAGAATTGTTAAAATTTGTAACACAAAGGATGATCAGAATAAATAATAACATTAACTATTATAACAATATTTAAGCAGTGTTATAACTATTAATACTACATATATTCAATATGTACATGTATTGATCTATAGTTTAATGCTATCAGAATGGAAGTAATACCACAAAATTCGAAGTGTGCCAGAATATTAAGAGCAGAGTGGTGTATGCTGTTTTATAAGAATGTTCCTACTGTTTGTGTGGATTACATTTCTTATTCTTCAGATATTCAACATGCTTGAATGTTTATTTAGATCATTATCTTTGGGCAAACATACATTTTTGATGTTCTATTTCACTATCAGCCTCAACATGTGACCAATGACATACAATCATTAGTAATTATCATTAAGATGGCTTCTTGTAGAAAGCACATGCAAGAAGAGGCCCACATCTAAAGGACCATACCTTTTCTGGCCAACTAAAATTTACTTTTGAATTAAAGATGCCGGAATTTCCTTGTTGTCCTGATTGTTTCCATGTGCTTATTTGGTGATGATGACCCCAAGCACAGATATGAAGAAATTATTGACAAAAACATATCCCTTCTTCAGGTACGAATCTCAAGCAGTTTTTCACTAATATATAATTGAGACCAAATTTCTGCACATTGGCTTTGTTTTCTACTGACTTGGCTCCTCTATATGTGTAAAATGCCAAACACTAGTTAGACAATGCATGCNAGATCAAAATGGTTGAAATAAATAAAATAAAATGCATAAACTGCATAAAATTTAATGTAATAAATTGATGTGCACTAAACCTCAACCCCTCCCCCTTGTCTGGCTTGGTCCAACTTGTTGTAATCCCCTCCCTCCCTTACAATATGGACATCGTCAATGGCCAGTCCCAATTTCAAAAATAAAAATTTCCATAAATACCAAACAATCTTCTGAATCACCAAGCTATATTAAGAGTAATTTAATAATCTTACATAAATTTTTTATATCTAATTATTAAATTAGCTCAATAATTTGGCAAAACATTAGGCATTACTTAAAAATTGGGTTATTATATTACTGTTTATTTCCAAGAACTTTTTGACACTATTTGTAAAAAAATCTGCTACAAATAAAATACTTTCTCTCTGTTATTTCGACATACCTTTATTCGTACAGTCGGGTTCGTCATCAAATTTTTTTATTTCGTGTTTGGAATCTTCATAAATGTCTTGAAAATATGTGCCATTATTTTTATATATTGTCTCTTCTCCATTTTTCAACTATTTTGAAAAAAAATTGCATTAAATTATTATAACAATTGCTTTATAAAGGAAGACAGAATTGTAAAATTTGTAACACAAAGGATGATTACAATAAATGATAGCATTAACTATTATAACAATATTTAAGCAGTGTTATAACTATTAATACTACATATATTCAGTATGTACATGTATTGATCAATAGTTTAATGCTATCAGAATGGAGGTGATGCCAGTTAATTTGAAGTGTGTAAGACCAGAGTGGTGTATGCTGTTATATAAGAATGTATCCAGTGGTGATATTCAGCAGGTTCGCACAGGTTCGGCCGAACCCGTTGTTAACATTTTCAAAGTTTTCCAAACCCGTTGTTAAACACACATAACATTTCTCAGTGGTTTTGTTTCTTTTAAAAAATATATTAAAATATACGTATTATACTCTGTAACACTACTAAACTAGAGCCTTATACTCTGTTCGCCTTAGTGCAACCTCCATCAATCGTTTCAATCTCGACTGAAACGAGGTTCAATTGCAATCGACTCAAGAGAGTTCTCGAAACTAGGTCCAGTCACACGAGAGATCCCACAATCCCAAGCATGCGAAAAAATACAAGATGGTTGCGGAACACGTGTCTGGCTATCGACAGCGAAATAAAAAAGATATTGTATTTCGAGAGACAATGACATCTATCTATTATTATAATAATACCTAATGATAAAATAAATGATTTAGAAAAGTTTTTTCTTGAGAAAAAGCCAATTTTTATGTTTATAAAATATTTTGAATAAAAAATATTAAAATATGTACAAAGTAGACCATTTTGAACACTTTTTTGTTTTATTTATCAAAAAAATATAGTTCTGGCATAAACAATGTTAAAGTTTAACTGACTTAATTTTGTGAAAGCATCTTTTTTATTTATATGGGTATCTTAAGGTCAGTTTTTGTGCTAATGTTGCTAATGCATCATTTGAGCGAAAAAAATTGTTAAGGAAAAATTTTTTGTTAGCGAATCCTTCATGAAATATTTCGAATATCACCACTGAATGTATCTACTGTTTGTGTGGACTACATTCCTTATTCTTCAGATATAACTCAGCATTTGAGCATGTTGAATATCATTATCTTTGGGTAAACATACATTTCAGATGTTTTCTTGCACTATCAGCCTCAACATGTGGTCAATGACATACATTCATTCATTATTATTCATTCATTAGTTTAATTGTACATTTAAAACAAAGTACCAAGTCCTGCCCCGCAGTGAGCATTACAGGATCATATCCATTACATAGTTTCACTGAGTTACAGTATGCACTAATGAACAAAGCAAAGTGAAAAGAAAAATAAATAAATAAAAAAACACAATGACAATAAAAGACCCGAACAGAATACGCAGCATCTTGCTGCAGCATATAACAGATTACTTATCTGCAAGAATATTTTCGCAAAAGAAGGTCGCAGTAAATACAATAATTCTGACAAAGTGTTTAACAGCATTTATCCCGTGCAGAAAATTTGTAAGACAAAGATTTGAGAATCCCATGAGTCCATATATAATATGCATACAGATCAAAAAAGAAAATCCACACAGCTAGTAATTGTAAGTATCAATTCCAACACCTTAAACCCAAAAACAGAGGATGATGATGAAGCTTACATATCTCTTACAGTCAGCAAAAACAAATGTATATAGAGAAGCAATGATCTGCTTGTATCAGTTGTTGTGCTAAGAAGCAGAGATAGCACTATGAATTAAACAATTTGTGCCCTGTAAAGGATTCCATAATTATTCAGGTAAGTAGTCAGCTGTCTTAATATATAAGGCTTTTGCTTTAATGTACAGTGAACACTCCTTATCCAGTGTGTTATGTTCATGTTTATCTAGGCCACTCCTCAAACAATTAGCACATTTAGGCTACAAACTTTCTTCGGTGATGGGCAACTTGCCGCCAAATGTCCAAAAGCAAGACATTTGTAGCACTGTCGTACAAGGAAATAATCATAAGCATTGCACGTTTTCCACTGAACATAAAGATATCCTTATTTTTTAGTCATTGCCCTAACCTCCAGTGACATCTCTAACACCCATGATAAAAACTCGTCATTTCTCTGTTTGATTGAAAATCGAAGGTTTAAAACCTTTTTAAACTCCTCCATCATGTACTTCTGTGAAAAAATATTCTGTTCAAGCAGATATTCTAATAGGTCGTCTTTGGTGATTGAGTTGGGGACTGAAGTCACTTTCATAAGGGGAAGACGCCATCTTGTGTTTCGTGCCTTCAATCCTTCTATTTTGTCTAATTGTTCCTGAAAGTATTCAGCCACCTCTCTGATAGAAAAATCAATAGCAATTCCACCCTTGTTAATCTTACGAATACACTTGATAAGCACCTTATGCAATCTTTGATCAAAAGAATTAGTGAGCAGTAATTTATATTTCACACAGGGATCACAATCAGGTTGTTCTGGACTGGACAAACTATCATTATTGATAAGATGAAAAACAAACAAGTGGGAAACTGCAATTAAACATTTTCCCAAACTGCGGGGATGACTTGCAAACAAAAAGTGGACAGATACAACAATTGTTGGCTTTCCGGATTTATCATGCAGCCGAAAAGCCTTTTCTTACTGATATAGTAATTTTAGTCTAATTTCTCCATTGAGGTGAACTATTATGCAATCTACTGTGAAGAACTTTCTGTGTATACATATTTGATTCTGTCATCAGAAGGGAGAGAATATAATTAGTAAAGAAAAGATAGTAGTAGCAAATAGGAGAAGAATCAGTAGAATGCATATGTTTAAGCCTAGAAGGTTCTTTAAAATGAAAAGAAAGAGGGAAAGGATGTTCAGATAATAAAATCTTGCTATAAAAATTGCATTAAAGTATTATAACAATTGCTTTATAAAAGAAGATAGAATTGTTAAAATTTGTAACACGAAGGATGATTACAATAAATGATAACATTAACTATATTCTTTGTCATCCATATCACTGTCACTACCTAACACAGGATGAGAATTAATGAGATTCAGATGTTCATATATATATTTACACTATGCCAAGGTGGAGCAATGGCCAACAGAGTGGCATAGTGGGCGATTATAGGCCATGGGCACTGAAGTTGTCCCCAGTAAACACGGCAATTAACCGAGAATGGTCGTATCTAAAATTAAATATCTCTGGATGTAATACATTGGATGGAAGTCAAGTCCAGATAGTATAACTGGCAATGCATCCATACAGAATGAGAAGCTAGGGTATTGAATGATGCACATTGTCGTCTTCACTAGAATTATAGCTGTCATTCTGAAGAGCATCCAAATATTACTCATAATCATTCAAGTGAGAAGCCATTATTAAACTATTTAAAATGTAATTATAAATATCACTTACAATGTTGATTATTATATGTAATATAACAACTGTAAAAGTTTTAAAATTATAATGATATAAGCCTATATTACAAAAGCAAAGTATCAATGCTAAATATTTATATAGTACTAGTGGGCATTCTAGCAGCAATACAAATTACTATGAGGCATGTTTAATGCACTTAATATATGAAAGTTGTGTGTGCTTAATTTTTAAAAGTTTGATGCACTTAATATATATAAATGTATACAATTCTTCATCTTAGAAACTAAACTTAAAAAATCAATACACAAACAGCAAACAGTATTTGTACATGAGAA